GCGTGTTTTACCCCCCTGCAACCCTCCAGAGTCACGGCCACAGGTAAGTACCGGCCCGGTGGGCCTTGCAACCAACAAGTACCCTTGCGGGTCAAACACACACATACCCCACCAGCAAGCACTCAGACAGGCATGCACGCACACACACACAACCAGCAAGCACTCAGACAGGCATGCAACCAGCAGGCACGCACACACACAGACTTGGACCCTTGGAACCACAGCAGAATGCGGGAATCACAACAAGGCATCCATTCCAGTGACAAATCCCAGAAATCGGCAGTGTTCTCAGTCTGTGTTTTTGGCGGGTCATTACATTACTCCCCTCTCGAGAGCGAGGTCCCTTCGAGCGAGTARCTCARTCAGAGYYGGTACAAAAGGCGTCGTAGGCATAGATCAAAAGGAGAGTGTTAGTGAGACCGAACGGAGTGAGTTTTGCAGCAAACTTGGCGGTCTGTCCATCAACAATCTGTCGTTCATATGCGTTCACAACACGTGGCGCACTCTTCAGCAGCTCTTTCCGATCGATCCAGAAAAAATCATTCAACGGGTGATAGAGGAAGTGAACTCTATATTGTCTGTTCCTCCCTCTCCCTTCGTGAGAAACGATTCTGTCGATCTCATGGCCACCATCGATAGGGCGAGGTATCATAGGGTCTCGGAAGGGAAAAGTCTCATCATCTATGTGCGGAAACAGTTTGGAGGCATGGAAGACTGGGTACGTGCGCAGATGAGGCGGCACGTCAATCACATACGAAGGACCGAAATCATCCCCAATCACTTTCAGAATCTGCCAAGGGCCGTAGCATAGTGGAAGAAGCTTCCGTGAAACGCCCTCTTCATCAGAAAATTCAGACATTTTGACCCAGACATAATCTCCTACTTTGAATTTCTCTTCTCTGCGCATCTTATTAGCATGTTTGATCATGGCATGCTGGCGCTTGTTCATGGCGGCGGTCACAACTTTGAGCAAGCGTGTGTACTTGGCATTGTAGCCAGGCATGCCGGGCATCAGACCAGGTGACCGTTCTGGGAACAGGTAGGAGAGGGGATTGCGCATTGGTCATCCATACTGCAACTGGTTTGGTGTCACACCGGTTGCARAATGGATGGAGTTGTTGTACAGCCCCTTTACTTTATGCAAGTCCTTATCCCATGTGTTCTGATCTAGCACAATCAATGCGCGCAGCAGCTAGGTGACGGTCTGGTTGATTTCCTCAGCCAATCCATTGGCTTCGGGGTGTCGACCAGAAGTCATGTTCAGTTTGATGTCATGGATCTGGGCAGTGAAGTCCTTCCAATGCTTGCTGATAAATCTGGTGTCCCGATCACTCACAAGAGTTTTCGGTGGCCCATACTGCAGAATGTACTGCTGGTGAAACTCTTCGATCACCAGTTCAGTCAGTGCATGAGGAGGTAGAGGAATCAGATTCAGAAATTTAGAGAAGCGATCCACAATGACCATGACTTGTGAATTCCCTGCCGTACTCACCTTCCCCATGTCCGTGAAATCGATAGAGACCGATTCCCCGGGGCCATCAGGGATTGGGAGAGGTCTCAGCAGGCCATAAGGCTTATGCCTGTGGACCTTGGTTCTCTGACAGACTTGACACTCAACAATAAATTTCTGAGAAGATCCCTTCATTCCTGGCCAATCAAACTGCTGGAGAAGACTTTCATAAGTCTTCTCAAAGCCGAAATGCCCATTCCGACCATGTGCCAAATCCAGGAAATGAGTCCGGAGAGGCGCATGGTTAGGAACACACAAGCGATCAAATTTCTCATACCGGCGGAATACAAGACCATCGCATTCATGAAAATCAGGCTGGCTGTTGGGGTCAGCCTTGAGTTGCTCAAGGATGGGACTAAGGTCCGGATCCTTGGCGGTGTGTTCGATCAGATCCTCCTTCAGTTTCCTGCGGAGGTCGTAGGAATCCACCAGGCAAGTCAAATACTCAGGATGGTGCGATAGAGCATCAGCAACACGATTATAGCAGCCTTTCTTATGCTTCAATTCAAAGTCGAAGACATCAATATCATGCAACCAGCGGGTCAGCGTTGGAGAAAGATCGGTTTGTGTCTTAATCCACTGCAAGGTCTGATGATCTGAGTAGACCTTGAAGTGGCGACCCAAGAGATAGTGCTTCCAATGCGTGAGCGCCTCGCGCAAGGCGTAGAGCTCCCGCATGTATGTGGAAGTGGCTACCTTGTGGCTGGGCATGCGTTTGCTGTAATATTCAAGCGGACGCAGGCCGTCGCCATCGTCTTGTTGCAGCACTGCACCAATCCCAAACTGGCTCGCGTCCGTAGTGACTACGAACGTGAGGTTGGGATCCGCAATGCGGAGCACAGGATRACTCACCAAAGMCTCTTTCAAGGCTTGGAACGCAGTCTCACACTTTTCACACCACGCGTAGGCAACATTTTTACTAGTCAGGCTTTAGAGTGGATGAGCAATGACAGAGAATTTAGGCACAAACTTCCGGTAGTAAGAAGCCAAACCGAGAAAAGAACGCAGCTCGCGTACATTTGCCGGTTAAGGCCAGTTGCGGATGACCTCAACCTTGGTTGCCTCCGGCTCAAGGCCGCTCACAAACAACCAGTGCCCAAGATAGATGACACTGTCCCTACCAAACTCTGATCTCTCCAAGTTGAGGTGCAGTTGAGCATCTTTGACGACTTGCAAGACCTCCTCAAGATGCTTGACGTGCTCCTCCATGCACTTGCTGAAAATCAGAATGTCATCAAGATACACAACCACAAACCTGTTAAGTTGGTGGCGGAGTACATTGTCCATGACAGACTGAAATGTGGTTGGTGCGTTCGTAAGGCCGAAGGGCATAACGATAAATTTGTACAGCCCATCGCGTGTCTTGAACGCGGTTTTGTGCTGGTCACTCGGATCGACTTCAATCTGGTGGTAGCCAGACTTGAGGTCAATCTTGGAGAAGACCTTGCAACCACCGGCTGCATCCAACAGATCATCTATGCGAGGCAAAGGGTACGCATTCTTTCTAGTGATCCGGTTCAAGCCACGATAGTCAATGCACATTCGGAGCTTGCCTCCTTTCTTCGGTATAAATAGGACAGGGGCACCAAACTCAGACTCACTAGGCCTAATCCATCCACAGTCAATCATGTCATCGATCTATCTCCGCAGCTCCTCCAACTCGCCTTGTCCCATACGATAGACGCAGCCCTTTGGAGGAACACTCCCTTCTATTATCTCGATTTTGTGCTTGACTGGACGCTCAGGAACTCCGCGCGGTTCAGCCAACACTTCCGGGAATCGATCTAATAGGAGGCGAATGTTTGCTGGGATTTCGGGCGGAGGATCATCCTCATCAGGCGAGAGAAAACCAGATTGGGAATTTACAGCAATCACAACCGGTTTTGAGGCATTCGGATCAGAATTAGATTGATTATTTACGGCAGAAGTAGGTGGAACAAAAGTAGTAGTAGAGTTACCTTCAGAAGAAGAAATGCAGCAAAAGTAGAAGGCACATGGAAAGGCTTTACAAGAGCTATATGTACAAACTCAGCCTCCTTGCGCCTGCGCACTGACCTGCAGAATTTGTTTGCATTTAGAAGAGTCACAGGGGACTTGCGCGTCTCGTCTAATAAGAAGGTACGCTCGTTCCCCTCGGCATCGAGAACCACAAACTGATTGTCCGCCCACGTGGTCCTTAGGCAATGAGCCTTTAGCCAGCCCAAGCCAATGACCGCGTCGAACGGACACTTGTCCAAGACATAAAAATTTAGCTCATGTGTGACAGTGCGATCTTTGTCAAAGGTGATGCGCACACCTTTGACAGCATGAGTAGAAGTGACAACCTCTTGGTTGCCCACCTGAGTCCRGCAAGGGTTCTRCAGTTCCACTTGCTTCATACCCAGGCCCGCCTTACGAATCCCGTTCGGAGAGAAGAAATTAGTGGTGGAGYCASTGTCAATCAACACACGGATGTATCGGCGGTTAATGAGTAGTTTAAAGAAGGTYAGMTCCACGCYCCCCTGRACACGGYGTTGCTGCTTGAGCTGCAGCCAATGCTCCATGTGGGYRTGGARGTCWACTTCYYTARACTSCTCCCAAGGCTCAGTGTATAAYACWTGGACTGCACCAGCCTTGGAWTCAGCATYRKTTYGGGYTTCAAGAGCAAGCTGCTGATCAGATYCAGKCTCCTYRGARGGGYCTGCAACYGACTGYTCAGCTTCCYTTGTTGTAGAGAGTGCTGATGWCTCCTCTACGCCCCTTGCCYGTTTCCCTGAAGACGATAGCAATCCTGCACAGCATGYCCAGGCTTYKRACAATGCAAGCATACGCGCAGTYTRGATCTTCTTTCCCATTCTTTTTGGCTGATGCGGAGRGYTTCCCAAGGTTTGGTGGAAGYGTCCTCYGGTTTCTCAGGGATCTTAGCATTCTTGGGAAGGTGTATAAMTGTTCCCTTACCCGAACCACGGTTAGGCCCMTTATTTGAAGCAGTCTTYYTGAATGCATTAAGTTTTTCATCGTCRTTTCKRTCACACTCAATGGCTGATGCAGAACAGSCCGYATCGGAGTCCGRCTCTAGATYGTCATCYAGAGACAGATCATCCRCATAGGACTGATCYTCAGCCTYCCGATGGTCAYGCAGTGCAAGCTGGTTGCTGCTTCCAAACCGCTTGCGTTGTGGTTTYCCACCTGCARCGGGCGCCTTCTTGCGCCTGGCGAGGTCCTTGGCCTCTAGGTTGACTAGATCCTTCATGAGCTCTCGCCAGGTAGCWTGGTCTTTGAGTGCTAGCAGGGAGAGGTATTCTTTAGGGGCCACTCCCATGACTACATCCATGCAAGACACGYCAGTCATCCCCAGATCCGGAGTGGTGAATAGACMTRTCAAGTGTTGTTCTAAAGCTTGCATGGATGAYCTYCATKYTTGGCCTTTGAGGGCCTCAAGCTTCAGCCTAGCCTTGAGCGCAGCGTGTTTATCCTGATACCGGTCAAGGAGAAGATCTTCAAGAGCGCGGACAGGGGTAACCTTCAGCCATTCAGTSAGGTYTATGCGCTCATAGCCTGCAGCAACAGSTTRGAGCTCAATGTGGTTGCGTACGGCGGGCTCGGTATTAGTCCCCATGATCATACTTCGGTCCTCTTGCGGTGTCCGCATGACCTCGAAGTATGACCTCATGGAACTA